GCTGACTGGAACTCTGGCACGAACCTTGCCAGCTCTGACATTCATCTGTTTGTCAGCCAGATTGGGTCCACACCAGGGGTCAAAGAGGCTCCAGTACATTCCCAATCCAGCTGACAATCAGATGATCATCAAATGGATTTGGAGTGCACTGGGTTTCCAGCCTCAGTACAGTTCCAGTCTAGCTGAAAATCAGCTAATTGCAATGGTGGTTTGAGCCCTGGTAGGGTCCCTGTCCTGCTGACAGTCAACTGATCATTGGCTGAGACGGCACCAAGGCTAGTTAGAGATGTTGGTGTTTTCCTAACCCTGCCACATGTTAGGTTTAAGGCGTGAAGGAAACCAGCCACAAAAATATTGTACCTTTTGTGGGTATTATTTTTATGGCTGGTTTCTTTTTTTGTAGCAGTATTAATTCCTTGAATGTATAGCCGGGTTAGTACTTAAGATATAATTAACAGACCAGTCACATCTTAAGTATAATGTCTGCTAGGGGCCTAAGAAATTGTGGTTAGTTTCTTTCAGATGACCTTTAAAAAGCTATGGGTTCTAAATGTTAAAGAATATGCACTATTTATTTTTTTCGTTTGTTTAGTTCTTCAGCTTAACATGTAATTTAGTAGAAATGTACTTTTTTTTGCTCTTAATTAGGAGGCACAGTTGACATTGTAGAGAGTGAGCCTGAGAATGATGGAGTGGGACTACTCGATCAAAATAACAGTGTTCGTATTCCAAGGGAAAAAATGGTTTACATGACTGTAAATGATTCTCAGAATGACGATGAAGATCTAAGTAAGTAGGTGGCCTTCATTTGGGGACAGGGATTTTTAGTTTTAATTATGTGAAAATTTTATTAATACTGTTTACTGTTAATTTCTCTTTCTTTTAGATGTTGCAGAAATTACAGATGAGGTTTATATGGAAGTGATTGTAGGGGAGGAGGATGCAGCAGTGGCCCACGAACAGCAGATTGATGACACTGAAATCAAAACTTTCATGCCAATAGCTTGGGCAGCAGCTTATGGTAGGTGATAATCAGGCATGTCTTAAGGTACTATGGCTAGTATAGAAAGAATATGATATTTGGAATATCTTCTTGGCGTTATAAATCCTAAAGCTGAATAGAGAAGGGAGGAAGAGGAGGAGGAAAATTATAAAGCAAGCTTCTTTCTTTTTCCATTTTAACAGGCATTTCCTTCATATTTGCATGATGTAAAAGGAAGTACTACAAGAAGCACACAAACTTCCAGCTGAAAAATTGCATCTCGAGTACCTCTACCCTTCAGAGTTTTGGGAAGCAATAAATGCTGACTTGGGGATAGAGAGCTGAATATTTATTTTTGTCAAAAGGGACAAACGGGAATATGTAGGGGTCAGTTACTCTCTAGATTAAAAGCAATGTTGCTGTTTCATTTAAGGCAGTGAAGATGAGTTATAAATACTTAGTTTTATGCATGAAATATTTTTTTTAAACAGAGATATTTTTGTACTGCCTTACTAAGTGATACCAGAGCCTTTGCAGCTGGCTGGTATTTCAGAATTGTTCCTCTCATTTCTTGTTATATGGACACTGGCTGACACCAGAACTGACTTATGGGAGTCAATCATCTCTCTACTAATATCAGGAGCCCACGTGCTAGACCAGGTGTGGCCAAACTTCCTAGCCCTTCTAGCTGCAAACCAAAATCTTGACATAGCTGAGTGCTGCAAGACGCAAAGTTTTGCAGATGTGTATGGCCCATAGTCAATGACGTGCAAACAGTGCCTCAGCACAAATAATAAAACATTGTTAAATGACTTCTCAGAGTAAATGATTAGCAAGAACTGAAGATCAGATGTAGCCAATAATGAATGAGCAGACTTATAGGAACAGAATGCTTTTATAATGCTATTTCTCTTCTTCAGCAGATGTACTTAAATTGCTCTGGAACCCCATGCAGCTCTTGAACTGCAGCTTGGCCACCCCTGGGCTTGATGCAGCCCAACCATATAACAACTGGTCCAGAGAGGCAAAGTAGGCTATTGCCTACCAAAATTTATACCTCTCTGAACCAGATAGTCTCTAACTTCTGCTTCTGCCTCTGGAGAAAGGAAACGGCCTTTTCTCCAAAGAGGTTACAATATAATTTTAAGATAATTTGCAACAAGTGGTGTAACAAATGAAGGAAGTGAATGATAGGTCAATGGTGTAAATTAGCAAATTACCATCTTAAAAGGATTCACAGTCTCTACTGGCTGTCTACCTGTCCCTTATTAATTGGGAATTTGACATAGGCATCAACGCTGAAGTGATTATTGAGAACTTGAAGACTGATAGGTTAAGTGTTTTACAGACTACTGATAACAAGCCTGGTGGTCATTATTAGCTGCCTGTAAGGGACTGGGGAAGCAACCAGGTAAGATATAGGAGTAGACAAATAGTGAAGGGTGGGTAATGGCAGGGCCTTCAGAGATAAGTAATAGAAGCTTGAATTTTGGATGAAAATGGAAATCCAGTGGAGGTGTTTAACCAAGCTATGGTCAGAATCGTAATGCTCTTGTTGAATCATAATGCACCTCACTTGAATCAATTGAGGTGGATTTTCTTGGTAGGTAGAGGAAGATGCTGCAGTAGTCTGGAGTAGGAGATGATTAGAGTTTGGATGAGAAATTTAGCTAAGTGGACAGAAAAAACTGCCAGATTTTAAGAATGTTTAGGAGGTAGAAGCAACATGATTTTTTTTTAAAGTTTAGAAGGCAAGAAGATGGTGAAATTAAATAAAAAGTCTATTTCACTTAGATGTTGGAATGACAGGATACTTGGTTTTGCTGTCACCACAAAAAAGTAGCAGTGAAGAGCACCAGGAGAAAATGGTGCCATGAGAGCCAAGGGGAAACACGATGACATGGAAAATGTTTGTTAAAATTGCTGTGAGATCAAGGAGAATGAATAGAGTAGAAGCCTTATCTTTTCGCATGGGAGATGCTGTTGACCAGTTTCCAAGGAGACAAAAAGATTATCCAAATTGAAGGGA